CCGGAATAATGGTATTCATTACGTTGCAATAATGTCAGAGTAGTTTTGATTGATCGAAGTAGCGATTACTGGATTCCGTATATTCCGTTTGTAAAAGATAGTGTTCAGACGATCTGTTAGGTACGTTACTATTTATTTATTTATTCGAACAAATGCCACTGAATTATTGTCTGATAGCATATCAGGGAAGAATTAATTAAAATAATTTAAAAAATATCGAAACTTTCGGTGTTAGGAACCGACGTTCCGTTGTAAGAAAAACACCGCCATCTTGTTTTCAGTCAGTCACGCGTGCCTTCTTCCTCTCCGCTTAACAAAACGAATCTCGTGACGTTAACCAGAGATCGTTCCGATCGGTTCGATCCCGATCGATCAATCCACGGATCCTTCGAATAAGATTTCTCAAGTAGGATAGGAATTCCATGGATGTACTACATAAATTGCTATGGTTATGTGCCACCAGAGGGGGGAGGATGGTCGGGAACTGGAATGACCGTGAGGTAATCGTAGATCGAACGATTTTTTATTCTAACCGGTGGAGCAACCGTCGTCGCCGTGACAGTGTCGTTATTAGTCGTTAACCAAGGTGCCAAATGTATATAGAATAGCAAGTGATCGCGCGTGCTCACAAAGTTATAGCCGTTAGGACCAATTGGGGTCCCTCCAGGGACGCCACTCGTGTCGTTGTGTGTTCTACAATAGGCGACTCGCGTGTAGCCCCGCCCGTGTGCTCCTTATACCTTTTCCGACAAATTCATGCTGGGCAGGCATTCGGTTGTTGCAAGGGTGTACACTCCAGTTCGTAAGTATTAGGAAGACAGTTGTCAGATGTGATGGAAACTCGAAGAATTATTGCGAAATTATCGATTAATGTTCGATAATTTTTTGACGATCGAATAGACCTAGGGGTAGGGAAGTTTTTCGATAATAAGAGGCACATACAATACTTTTATAACAGCTAATGTTCAAGAATAAAATATTCTAATATTGGTACACACTATAGTACTGTAGATTATTATTAATATAAATGGTTAGGAAAAATGGCAATAAAACCGAATACATATTGTCTCGGGAGGTACAGTTTGTCCACCGTTGGAATAGATGGCGGTACTTGGGTCCAGATGGACCCGTACTTATATGAACAACGGTGGGTTTTGAATTAGTTTCTGTAAGTTCGAGTGGTGAGGTTTTTGAGATCTTGAAAAATTTCTGTAATTAGCAACCAAAAGGATATCGGATAAACATTACAACAAACTTGTATCAATTTTCTTGATCTCCATTTAAATAAATGGAGTTTAGTGTATTAAAAAGGTGATTGTTCTATTATCCGAATACTTATGTCTGCCTATTAGTTCGGATATGGGAGGCTCTGCTGTACCGCGCAAGAAGGATGTGTGCACATGTGTCCAAACGTACCCTCTCGAGCAAACTCGGCTTTCGCTAGGGGAAAAAGTGGCGTAAGAGAAGGGCCTCCTACCATTTGGTAAAAATGATTTCAGGTACTAAAATAAATATTAAATCGGATGTTAATTTCGGTTAATTAAGGCCTCTTTTTCTATCACTTTTTCCCCTAGGTGAAGCCGAGTTTGCTCGTGAGTGTACCCAGCCACCTCTGTTTCTGCGGTTACCCAAAATCAACCTACTGTTCCGAGGATCAAGCGTCAACACGGCCCCGAGAAATAAACCCGTTGGTCATCCGATCTCCAACGTTAACCGAACAATTTTTCCTCGGTTCAGCGGGTATTACATCCTGGAATTGTTTCACAGGTGGCTCGCAACGGGCTGTGTTACGGGTTCCAGGAGGACTCCGTGAAAACGAGCGTCCACGCGAGAGTGCGTTCTCTTTCAGGCGTGTACAGCGGGTACGAGGCCCCACGGTGTGCCGCACTTACGCGTTATAGTTGCGTAACCACGGCCTAGTTCGCGTACTAGGCGACTTTAATATTCGTGGTGGCAATTCTACCGCAAACGGAGCTCTGCGCCTCGACGTTCCTCGAAAAACCGAGTCTTCCAGATTGGACCGTGCGCGGTCGGGCACCGGTTTGATAGCGCACGGTCCTGTTCGTCGAATGTATTTATTTATATTTTTCTTAATTTGATATGTCAGGATTTCCGCGCCAATGTTCGAACCCATTTGAATGGGTTAATCGTTGATACTCCTCGTCAGATGTTTGAACACGTTTGAACGATTGGACCGTTCAAACTCTTCATAAGACGTTCGAACACATTGAAACAGTTCGATTGTCCGCGAGCTAAGTATCACTCTAACCGGGTCACGATAAAAAACGCTTTCCATCCAGCCATGAGAATTCATACTTATGTAACCCTCCGTGTACCTGTTCGCCGTACTACTCGGGTTAACGTGACATAATCGCTTCATTCTCGGCCTCCGGTTCGGCTACGCATCCTCCGAATAGTTGCCCGGTACCTATACACACGTATCCACATAAACATGATCGCCGATTAGTCAATACGTTGTGCACGATCCGCGAGTGGGCGTTTGCGTTCCTGTATGCTAATGCCGTATCGTACGTATATCTTTCGTAACGCGCCGTCGCGGCTCGAGGATCCTTGATTGGTAAAAGTGGTCTCTTTCTCTCTTTTGGCGGGCTAATGGCTGGCGTGGCTCGTTCCTCCGATTCCTCCGACGATTCGTCATAGACAAGATCTTCGTGAAACCGCGGGTGAAAGCGGGAAAGGGAGAGAGAGAGGGAGAGAGACGTTCGACGGGCCTAGGACGCGACCTGGCGAAAGATAGCGAGGAGGGGGGTAGACGGTAACAAACGTTCTGTTCGCCCCCCGGGAGAAACCACTTTCGCTCTTTTCGCCACTCGCCCGTCGCGTTTTCATTTTTCCCTCACCTGGGATAGATTTTACCACGGTGCGTTGGTTCGATGTCACGGATCGTAAAACATCTACGGCCGATTCTTAACGTCGTCGCCGCCGCCATCTTGGTTTCGCGGGAACGGTTAGTTGCAGTAGAGAGGAAATGAGAGTGCTCAGGTATCTATCACTCACTTCGCACACAAATATTTCGTGAATCATGACTCGTCATGTGTCCTGAGTCGTAATCCCTCCTCACGAGCCCGCGGCTGCCCGATGCTTGCCCGAGCGGGCACAGTTGCCCGTTCATGCTGTAGATCTTTGGGTTGGAATACGTAAATTGTTGGAAGAATGAACATTTTGACATAATAATAATATAAATGGAACTTTGAAACTTTTCTATGTTTAACAGATTGAATATGGTATCTGCAATTCATTACTCACATCTATCGTATGTCCCCGGGAATAAAAATTTCGGCGACAAACTGATGAAACCTTTATAAAACCTTGAAGATCCTACGGAAGATTTCCAAGTTATTGAAAAAATCCTACGAAAATATACAATTTACAATAGTATTTCTATAAATTTAACAACAATTGCCTTAAGTACTACTTAGATACATGACATGACAATTTATTTATAATAATATTTGTATAGATTCAGTAGGACCACGCTCTGGTGTTATTCAGGCTTATAAAATTGTAATGTATGCGTCGCAAATAATTCCCTCTTCTGGAACTTGCAAATCTTCCGTAGGATCTTCAAAGCTTCATAAAGGTTTCATAAGTTTGTTGCCGAAATTTTCATTGACATCAATATACCTTACAGAGTCTTACGAATGCTCCGGTGGTTCTATGACTCCACTTTCTCAAACACACGGGGTCTCTTATGCAGGCTCCGGGGGTTCTATGACCCCACGCTCTCACCACGCTGGGTCTATGGCGCCTCCACCGGGGGTTCTGTGACCCCACGTTCTCACCACACGGGGTCTCTGGCGCCTCCACCGGGGGTTCTGTGACCCCACGTTCTCACCACACGGGGTCTCTGGCGCCTCCACCGGGGGTTCTATGACCCCACGCTCTGACCACGCGGGGTCTCTGGCGCCTCCACCGGGGGTCCTATGACCCCACGCTCTGACCACGCTGGGGCTCTGGCGACTCTCGCGGGGGTTCTATGACCCCACGCGCTGACCACGCGGGTCTCTGGTGACTCCCGCGGGGGTTCTACGACCCCACGCTCTCACTACACGGGGTCTTTGGCGCCTCCACTATATAGTAAAATATGGAAATAGGAAGAAACGAAAGTTGTACTGTAAAATTGATTCCAGTATAATATTGAAAGCAAGTAATTTCGTCTTATTGCTCAAGACCTAATAGGTACTTACAGCAGATCCTTGTTTCCTTTCGCGCGACGGGAAATGCTTTCTCGTCAGGTCAGTTCCCTTAGCGTGAAAATTCCGATCGTGGTTTTTATTACCGTGGCGGAATGCCCGTTATGCGATCCTCCGGGTAGTAACAGTCGCGCTTCGTTTTAGGATCGAAAATTCTAGAAAGTTGCTTCTCTAGCGAAATTTGACGATATTGACTGTATAATTAGCTCCTTACAAGTTTATAATAGAAAATGATCTTGAAGGCCATTTGAAGGCCTTCATATGTCTTTAGATAAAAAATAATCTACTTCTTTCGCATAATTCCGTCACGAAAGGCTTGTTCAATTATGCATTTTCATCTGGTTACCTTCAAACACAAATTATATTGGCTACAGTTACACAAAATAAGAAACTAATTGACCTTGAAATGTTCTTGACGGCCCATTACTTTTACCACGCAGCAGACTCCTCGCTTAGAAACTCGAATCTTTCCACTGAAATTCATTAGAGCAGTATTCTCGTTTTCTCCTATGCTTTCGTCTCACAGACGAGATTCCTGTTCATACATCCAAAGGGAGATTTTAGGATATATAGTAAATCCTCGATAAATGTTCGACCGGGTCCTCGGCACTGACAAGTAGAGGTCCCCTGGTGTAACGCTGACTGTTCAAAGCCAGTGGTATTTGTTTCAGCCCACACGTGGCCATTAGTTCATGGAATATTTAATGTTCAGTGCCGAGGACCCGTTCGAACGCTCATCGATGATTCGCTGTAGATATTATTAAAACACCGAAGCATGTCGATCGACATTGGTTCTCGATTTATTTCCTCGATATACTTCATCATTCGGATTGTCTACATCGTTGAAAAACTGTCGTTTGTACTTACAAGCGTAACGCGACATCGCGGTGTCACGGCGGATACCTCGCGAAGCGGAGCTCCTCCAGTCGTATGGCATAGGGTTCCAGTAGGGTCGGTTCGAGGGATGGGTCGAGGAATCGGGACGCAGGTGGGATAGGTGAGCTCTCGCTTCGCGGCGGGAATGACAGTGGTATTAAAATATAACGTTATTATTATCGTCATTATTATCAAATACATTAACGGGACGTAATAAAAAATAGAAGATGAAGCGTGACCGTAGCGGCCGGTCGTATCGGAAGTACATTCACTATTTACACGAATGAGTATTCCATCATTGGGTCCGTTCGGCGGGAAGATCGCGGGTCTACGACGCGGCGTAGGACCAGTTGGCGAAGAATATAAGTTAGGAACTCTTCTTTTTAGTCTCTCGCTCTCGTGTCCGACCGTTGTATCCGCGTAGTCTCGAGACTCGAAGCTCGTAATATCGATTGTAACGTGAATCGTACGCGTCGCGTGACTCCAATACAGAAACATTTCCCTCAGTGGCACGTAGAACTGAACGATAGTCTCGGGTTCCCGGAGGCATCAGGACACGACGCACTTTTCCGTGTCCCTTTGCGCCTGATTCGACGACGCCGAAGAGGTGGGACCGCGTTTTCTGGCGCAGGCCACCGCGTCGTTCGGCACGTAGGAGATCCTGACGCCACCGTAGGCTCTTCTGGGCGGTAAAGCATACGCGGCTGCCTCGTCGGAACTGCTGGATGAGCTGCAGGTGGAGCAACAGCTCTCCGCGTCGTCGTCTTCACCGTCCACCCTCGATTTTGAACTTCCTGCTACACCTACAATAAGTGATCTGCCGTTAGGTTTGTAATAATTGTCTCAGTGATGATGGAGACAGCGGTGTAAAATAGGGTGAATTGATCGAGGCGCCTACGACTCCTTAACTAGTTGTCTTTGTTGATCTTATTAGTGTTAATCTTTTCGTTCACCTTAACCCTTAACTATAGTGGCCGGGTACAAATCTACTTCATTGTACATAGCGTAGTCATGTAGGTCAGACTTGACCAGTGTAGTAGAGAGTTAACTGAGTCTAATGTTACGAGATATATAAATCAGTCAAAATTAGAGGATTACGATACCATGCTTATATAACCTAAAATTACGTATCTCTTTACGTATTCGCTACATCAGGAAGTGCTTCTCCCGACATTGTTCGTCGAGGGGTTAGAATCGAACAAAGCCAGCCAAACTCCAGTATCTAAATCCACTGGACCTCGATATTCCTATTGTCGTGGGGATCACAATAAGCAGCGGGGTCTTATGGGTTATGGAAAGCAGGAGAACACGTCTCTACCCACCCCAAGACGACGAGCCGGCGACCTCCTCCGGCTGTAAGCTCCTTGATCGAGACACATTCGTTCTCGACAGCGACGCCGGCGACGGCGACGGCGAGCACGACGTGTTGTTCCTCTCGTTGGAGGGGGAGTGGGGCAGTACGCGGGGCGACGTCGCGGCGTGATCGTTCGTGTCCAGATCCCCTTGAAATCGTACGCGTCGCGACGTCGGGGTCGGGGGATCCGTTTGGCTCAAGACGAGATTCGTCGTCGGCGATGTCGCCGATTCCTGGGCCAACGTGGTCACGGACAGAGCGACGACACCGGTCGATGTCGACGTCGACGCCGACGCCGACGCGGACGCGCCCGATGACGGCCGCGGCGGCGGTGGCGGTAGTTCCGGCATGCTCGACGCGTGGGACGGAGCGGAATTCTGGACGCATCTGAGGGGCTCTCGATCCCTTGCTTGCATCAGCCTGAAACGGAACATACATTTTGTTATTGCTATTATTTGTTTATTTAGCTTGTTGATACAATACACTCTGGTATGCATTTAAAACACTTATCGAACATGGGGTAAATGTTTTACGGGGCTTTAGGAAATTGCAGGATGTCTGGAATGTATATTGCTTAGATATACACCTATTAATCCTTTGATTACGAAAGGCGTATATATATGCCCTCTAAATTTTTCTTATTGCAATACATATATTGTTTTACTAAACTGGTTTAACATAGACTTCAGATTTACTAACTAATATTTATAGCATGCAGGAAACTAAACATATTTACTAACCACTACTTAACTCTTTTATTTGTCAAACTTTGCATATAGGAAAATACGATTATTCTCCATGTTGTACTATTACAGTTCTTATATAAGAAAGACGTGCTACTACGTCAACCGTTCTCAGCTTATGTTTTTGAAAGGACATACTACCACCGACATCAACTGTTAATATGGGTAAATTGAATTACTTATACCTCATCCATCGTCAGTCATAAATAAATAGAGGGGGATAACCATTTAGGTGGAACTAGGACAGAGACAATTACGATTATATCACTACATTCTTGGACCCTACTTTGAACCATCCAACGTTCTCTATCAAAGGAAATAAAAATCTTTCTTAAAAGGGGTGTGTGCGAGTCGATTCACACCCTCTATGGGCTTCTACCCCAATCAATTTACCTTCCCAATTCGCTGCGATTATCCTCGGGATGGGTACTACGTTCCTGTAGCAGTCTCTCGAGATTCCTCTCGAGCAGCACCCGGTCAAGGCCTCCCGGCCTGGAGCCACTCGTCGGGAACCCGTCGGTCGTGAATTCAGGGCTGAGCGTGCTCTGTGTCGGTGTCGTCGCCAAGGAGGCGGACGTTTGATGATGCTTCCTGGTCATACGGGGCGAGTTCCGCGGTGATCCAAGGGTGTGTCTGGAGCCAGGAAGCGGGGGCGGTGGCGGCGGGGGCGGTGGGCTCGACGAACCCTCGCTGGCTGGCGGTTGCCTTCGACCGGTTCTGAGAAGTCGAAATGGTAATCGGTTGTGTCAATAACGGGGAACATCACGAATACAACGGGGGGCAATCAGAACTTTCGGGGTCAAAGATAAATATGTACTCTTATATCGAGGGTGTTTTTCAATGTTTGAATTCTAGAATGACATTGCGAGGTGGCCAGAGGTTCTAGAATATTTTAACAGTTTCTATAATGATCGAAGTAGTGATCACCACTGTTTTCTCTGTGTAAATTATTATTTACCTGAGGAACGAAGGCGGCGGAGCCGGGCCAGCCGACGAGTCGCTCGGCGTCGTCGGCGGTTCACCCTTGCTGCACGCTATGCTACAATAAATGGCGCCTCTTCGCGGCAGGAACGGCCGTCCGAGGAGGGAGGTGCGACATGTGGCGCAGCAGAAGCAGGCCTCGGTCGCGTGCCAGTGCTGACCCTCGTGCGACATTTGTCCCTGATCGACACCGATCGGTTCACCGCAGCTGTCGCAGTATTCCGCGAAGGATGCGTCGAAACAGCGAAGACAGTACGGTCGTCCTTCCCTCATCACGTACCTCTGACCGCCGAGCTGAAAATCAGGATGTCTGTTTAGTCGAGAATTACTCATCCCTAGGGCTTTGATACAAGCGATCATTTCTACGGTTTGTTTTCGAGACTTATAGAGAATGTGTTCAGGAGAACAGAACAGTTGAGCACTGAACTTTATGGTTTGATTAATCGTTCCACCAGGATGCACGTAACCTCAAAACGTGAAACAGGACAATCGTGAAATAGGAAAATTATTGCAGAACTCTACCCGTTCTAATAAAAAAAAATTTATTACTATTTTGCAACTGATTTGTACTGGTAACTTGTAAAATTTCATTAATAATATTAGTTCAATTACGCAAGGGGGTCCTTGGTGAATGACTGAACCACCACCATTTTAGGACGCACCCCATATGATTGTATTCTATAACTACTCAATACTCTACAAAGACATAAGAGAAGTCAATATCGTCCCCCAAACAAAAACAATATTATTCCAAACATTTTCATATTATTATTGTCGAAGACATTTTTATTATCGGTCATTCACGAGAATATAAAAATTCAATGAAAATCGTTCAGACGAATATGTACTTCCCATCACTGACTACGACGACTAAACCGAAAATAAAAATGGCGGCGAGACACACGTCGCGTCGAGGGGCATCGACCGTTTCCTGCTTTTTCGCGCGACAATTATTTACGTCGGAACGGGCGACGTCCGCGGAGAGTCATTTACCTCTCCCCCTCTCTGTACGATTTAGCTGTCAGCCTCAGAGCCCATCCCCTTTATATCCCGTGACGGACGTCCGTGGCATGCAGTTCGCGCGGCGATAATTCATCGAATCTAGGTGTCGATAAACGTCATACGCAGGGCAAGGACGAACAGACTCTCCTCTACGCGGGACCAGACAAAGCTTCTTATCGAGACTTTACGAGCTGACGGATCAATCGACATATCCACTGTCGGACAAACGCATTGCCTTCTTTTTGCAACGGAAATGAACATGTTGTCACTTGTTACACGAGCTTTTAGATAGAAATTTTATGTGATTTTTGTATACGGAAGAATTGTAGAATTGAATCAATTGATGGTACTCGTTATTCCATACATGAAGTATTAACTAGGAAACACCGTGAACGGTGACTCGCGGATTGGAATGAAACTTTTTGAGTTTATAGAGTGATTCAAGGCATAGACGAGAGTTAGAAAAAAATGCTTCGAAGGAAAGTTTAATGGTACAATAAATGTTATAAACTTGCGTTCACGAAATATGGAAAAATATCTGTTTTCTTAAGAAGAAAATTTTGGAACACTTTTTTTCGAAATTTCGTTGTGTGTTTGTTGGAGAGCAAATTTGTGTGCGCGAAAGTACGTGTGAAGGGGAAGTGCTTCACGTGGCAATATGTTCAGTGGCAATACAGTTAGAGTCCACAGTAAAAAATAAAAAAAAAAGTACTTCGTCATTTTGACTCGTTTAAACGTAGAATTTCCTTCCTCCATAATGAGTCGACATTTGGTAAACAATTATTTAACCTATTAACCTGGGAATTAACTTTTGTTCAACTCGTGTCGCAATGGGCCTATATGGCCCATATACATTTCACATATATTTTCCCATATGGCCACACTACGTTTTAAGGGGACTTTCCCATTCAAAATTAAAAAAAGACACTTTTTTAATATTTCTTTATAAAAAAAAACTATTATATTTAGAAATATAATTCCTTTTGGACGCTATTATATATATTATTAAGAAGATAAAGAAATTTTTTCTAGCACATTTAGTTCACCACGACCGCTGTAGAGGGCGTCTTCCAAAAAGCCACGTTTTAATCGGTGCGACACTTTGCAGACGTCCTGTAAAAAATTAAGTAAAAATTCAAACGAGATTCTATTCGTGAGACTTAAAACTACACAATAAACCTCTAAAATAGTTTATTTTTTGTATTTTTTTATCGTTTTATACGTATTTTCCGAAAAATTCGAAAAATCACTTTTTTGGGGGCAATTCACCCCTGTATAAAAAAGGGGGGGGGTAGTTTTATGAACTTTTAGAGGTTTATTGTCTAGTTTTAAGTCTCACGAATAGAATCCCGTTTGAATTTTTACATAATTTTTTACAGGACGTCTGCAAAGTGTCGCACCGTTTAAAACGTGGCTTTTTGGAAGACGCCCTCTACAGCGGTCGTGGTGAAATAAAACTGCTAGAAAAAATTTCTTTATATTCTTAATAATATATGTATATAATAGCGTCCAAAAGGAATTACGTTTCTAAATATAATAGTTTTCCTATAAAATAATATTAAAAAAGTGTCTTTTTTTTTTTTCAATTTTCAATGGGAATGTCCCCTTAATGGCTAAGAACGACGTGAAACGTAATGCGCACCGTTAAAAATTTCGAAAAAAGTCGTCACCCCCATTGTCTTCCTGGCCTGAATATTCCGTCATACCGTGTTAACAGGTGAATCACTATCGACACCTCGACGACAGTTTATCCCTAGTCGCATGTTTTTCATTACCTGTCGATCGCACTCGAGGCAAGCGAAATGCCTCATGTGCCAGGCTCTGCCCTCCGCCTCGGTGCATTCGTCGGCCAGTATGATCTCGTCGCAGGCGCAGCATCGCGGTTTCAACGTCTCCGCGTGATGCCTGCCGCAGTAGAGCCGACCGTCCCGCCAGAAGTATATCAGGTCGACGAGCAGCTGCCTGCAGACGCAGCAAACGAAACAGGCCGGATGCCATAGGGCGGACGGTCCCGCTCGGCTCGCGGCAACCGCCATCTCTCCGGCGGCGATCGGCCTGCTGCACTCCCGGCATCCGGCCCCGTGGGGCCTCTCCAGCTGGCTCGCGTGCCCGCGGCCGAGGGCCTCGCGTTTCCGTTGCGCCGCGAACACCCTCAGCTCGCGTTTCTCCTCCTCCGATAGGCCGCTGCAGTAACGCGCCTCGTTGTCGTGCGGCGGTAGCTGTTGCAGCAGCTGCTTCACCCGTTCACGTTCACCCGCGCTACCCGCGTACGGTATCTTGTCTTCCGGTAGCGCGCTGAAGTACAGGTGTACCTGAGACAGAGCGCGTGTGCACATACACACGGGATTGTAATTAAGAGCGATCACGCGGAGGCCGTAATTACGGCAGAGATGGAGAATAATCTATAGTCTATTGATAAATAATCATCGATAGTTTTTAATAGGGTAAGTCTGGGAGAGATGGATTAGAATTGTATTTTTTAAACTACAGTAAATGCTCGATGAGCGTTCGATAGTTCCTCGGCATTGAATGTTAAATACTTCATGAACTAATGGCCTATAGGATATCGATAAATTATCATCGATAGTTTGTAGTAGGGTAAGTCTGGGGGACCAGAATTGTATTTTTCAAACTACAGTAAATTGTTGGTGAGTGTTCGAAAGCGCTTCGGCACTGAATATTAAATATTTGATAAACTAATGGCCACATGCGGTGTCTGTCCTATGTTGTCTGATCGTGTTTGTCTGTTTTTTGCCCCGAGGAGTGTCCTTTTCGGGGCCCAATCGAACCGGGCAACCTGAGCTTCGAACGGCACGGACGAACGGTTTTCAGATTGGTGACTCTGGTAATTGGGTATTCGGGAACCACCTGGGGACGAACGTTTTTTTTTTTTTTTTTTTTTTTTTTTTTTGGCAGATTGAAGGACAGGTCTGCAGGATTGATATAGGGTGTCCTTTGATGAAACCGATCAATTTGTGGAGCATATTCACTAAGGGGCCATTCTACGCGAAGTTGGACACTTGTTGGAGTAACATTTTGGATTTTGTTGAAACTTAAATATGTCGTGGTCCTTAGTGATATATAAACGTATCTCGAAGGATTTTGGAAACTTTTTAAAATTGTTGATTTCACAACTTTTATGAAGTATGGTGTCAATAAAAAAGGTCGACACTACATTTATAGCTGGAAAATGAACAATTTAAAAATGTTTGAAAATCCTACGAGATACGTCTATACATCATTAAAGGTTACAACATATTCAATTTTCAACAATATCCGAAATATTACACCCAAAAACTGTCTGACTTCGCGTGGAAGAACCCGAAGGGGGGATGTAAGCGTTAATAATTATAATAAATGCTGTTTCCAACATGGGATATTTTTGGTTCAACATAACCTCGATCGAAACAATCCCTCGAATTACAATTTTAAATATTCCCGCGTCGGAACGGTCCCTACAATCGGAAATATGGCGGCCCAGTTTCGGGTCGTACAAAAACGGGAATCAAAGACGGGCAAGCATTACTTTCTCGCCATTGTGATAGTCGATATCCATCATTCATGAATAATTCAAAGATGAAATGCTTACAGTTACACGGAACACGTCACGGGGGGGGGGGAGCAGGTCTCTTCTCTGTCGGACAAAACAGTGGAACGGGTCCGGCTTGTTTTATTTCGCTTACGGGACCGACGTTTAACCCGAATCCGCGTTCCACGCTTTCGACTCGCGTAAGTCGAGCACGCACGCTTTCGAAACAGAAAGGGTCGAACGTTATCGGTATCGATCGCGTTTTCCTGAAACGAATCGAATATAATTATTGATCGTAAATCAGACGGGTCTCCGACGACCCGATCCAGACGTACTCGACAGTTAAGTAGAGGTGCTGCTAACGATTATCGATAAGTTATCGATAACTCATTGATAATATATCGACAATATCCTTATTGATAGTTACCGATACATCGACAATATCATTAAATAACTGATACTTTATTTAACCTGACGTTAATATAAATTAAATAATTGATATTTAAACCTCTAGTTATTGGTATATCAATAATATAGTTAAGTTATTGATACTTACCGATACATTGATAATATAGTTAATTTACTAATATTTACTGATCAACGGTATTACCGATATATCGAATTATCGATGATATTATCGATATATATATATATCGATATCGACGGCAGCACCTTCACAGTTAAGTCTTCGATCGACTTCTCTATCGAAAGTGTCTCCCGAGCAATTTAAGAAACCCTCCACCGTGTACAGAGTTTATGCGCAAAATTCTCGAAGTTCCTGAAAATCCCAAGTATAACCGTCACGGTAAATCAACCGGAGAGAAAGCAAACCTTTATGCAAATCCAAAGTCACCGCGGCGCGTACCAAGCATAGCGTATCAAGGCGCGCCCACACGAGAGCCACTGAGTCCGAGAAAACCGCGGTGTTCGTTTCGTAACCGCCTCGAATCGCCACGGCCGACCATACGTTTCTTTATCGACTATAAAAACGTCCCGCCAAAAACTTCTGTCGGGACACATTTCCCCTCGACGATGCCCCGTATTTCAATCATCGTGAAGGACAGTGAAATATTGTCCCTTCAGAAGGACTCTGGAATCGTTAGGACCACCACGGTCTAAATCGACGATAGATCAACATTGCTCGTTAATTGATTATTTCGTGATCATTTGAACCGCGGATGTTTATGTAAATTTCATACTGGACTTTATCGACCGACTTAACAAAACTGGAATCAAACACATCAACTGCCCGGCTTATGGCCTTGGAGGGGATATCGAAATCCCCTCTCCCGGAAGACTCAAGTCCCACTAGACTGCGGATTTTATGCATTTACAGACTCTAGAGCTCTGTGAAATACAACGAAAGACTAAACTTTCATCGAATGCAACGACTTTTCTATTTTATTCTAAACCCAATAACGTACTTAAACGAAGGTAGAAATTATTACTTTTGTTCTTATTTTCAAGAATTACTTTATAAAATTTTATTTTGCATAAAAATCCACAGTCTACTGATCACTAATTACAGTGGACTCTATATTGCAATGGCCTAGGCTGTAGGGGAGTAAAATGGCAATAAGTTCGGAGCTCCCTCCATGCTAAGTTGGCATGGAACGTGGTGGAAGGGGAAGTGCCTCGCGTGGCAATATGTTGCGTGGCTATCTGTTTAGTGGCAATATGTTGCGTGGCAATATGTTTAGTGGCAATATAGTTAGAGTCCACTGTACTAGGTCTGGAGGAAGAGATATAAAGAGAGAAAAATAGCCTGTTTTCCCTTACTTGATCCGGCCTGAGACCGGGCGGCACCCACGTGTACTCCTCGAGGGCGCATCCGCTGTCATCGTCGCTCTGCGAGTGCCTCTGATGATGCATCAGCGCCTCCTGGAGGGCGAGGCCTGGCGGGGCCGGTTGCACGGGACTCTTGAACGGCTCCTCGTGCGATGTACCGGCGGCCCCGCTCTGGAAAGCCATCGCCATTGCCATCGGCGGGCCAGGACCGAGGCAGAGTCCCGAGGGACCGCCCGCCTCCGTCGAGGTCCGCTGATGTTCCTCCCTTGGACACCTGCAGCTTCTGCACACCTTTCTGAAAAAAATCATGGAAAATTCCAATTTCATTAGTGATCACCCTCTTCCTATTGTTTCCTATCAATGGGGAGGATACAGAGTAAAAGATTTTTGGACAATGGCACGCCGATGAATCGTCGTGGGGAAAAGAACAGATGGGTAGAATAATGGTCATATGTGTTCGCTTTGGGAGAGCAGTCACGAGATGGACGTCGAAATATTGGTTTCTCCGATCGTGCTTCGAGGTTGGTTAACGATTTTTGTAACTCAGACCTGGGAGAATGTTATTTGAAATGATAAGAAATATCTATTTGAAATAAGGATATATTTGAATTTAGGAAATTTATTTTTTATACTGGTATTTGAAAATTAAAATAATAGTAATTTTGAATAATAAAGTATTTTGTTATGTTTGTATTTGAAATTTGGCAAAAGAAATAATACGCAACGAACAGAGTTTATTTTAAGGAATCTTTACTGGAGTTTGCTGTAACTTCTACATTCATCATTTTCTACAAATGACTTCATAAAACTGTATTTGCATAAACATCTGCTGTCTACTTGTGGATCACGAGTTACCAAGCTACCGGCATTGACGTGCTTCGAATCCTAAGATAGTAGTATGCAAAAATAATCAAAATCTTCTCTTAGTTCGCTCATAATGCTTTGTATCCTTTTTTGACAGTTCCTTTTCCGTCGAGTTGTATTCAATTAATTTGGTGTTCGTTATTTGATCATAAAATTTACATTTCAAGAGACAGTCTTCGGGACTATGAATTTAGTCTGGAACAGGTTATGGTCATTTTTGTGAGGCTTACTTTAGAATAGGTGAGGAATCTCTGATTCTATGGGAAGTCGTAAACTTCAACACGAATTTACTGACATTCCGTAACGTTTTCAAAGAAAGTTTATATGCTTCTGGAAATAGTAACACTAGAACTATCAAACCCGTCAAAGTAACGGAATTCAAATTTGTTATTTTGCAATTATTGAATTTATAACAGTGCTTTCGTCGGTATTCATGACTACCTTTAATTTATTATATATATTTTATATTACTTTATATTATGCTATACTGTATTATATAATATAAATATGAATATATTATGCAATTTAAGTTGTTATACATTCAACGCTGGTAGTTCTAGTGTTAAGTGGATCCTTTTTATCGTTTCGGTTATTGGCCCCTTTTCTATGAATTATTGTATATGGAGCGGGCCCAGGTGGTACAATCGGAACGAAGATGACTCTACGAAACAAACTTCAAAAAAGCCACAATCTTGCCTTGAGGGAGAGGTTGAATTTGTGTCAGCACGATGCGTGTTGCATATTAATATTCGAAACCCCTTTCCAAGGTAACAGAAGGAATTCCATTCCCACGGGGCGCCGATAAATTTCGTTCCTATTTGCATTCGTAATTTCATGGAAACGGAAAACGAAGAATTTCGATTCGGTTCAGGGACCCGTGAACCAGAAGCAAAAAACGAAAAACTTACTAACAGTTAAATCAATATGAAGTATAAAATGTCCCTATTCCTGCTCAGCGAAAATGGAAGTACCAAAACCAAACTTTGGCGAACAATATTAAAGATTCCGTAAGTTTTTTATTTTAACACTTATTAAATTTATTTCCATTAAAATACTGCCATCGATTGAACAGCGGGCTGTAGTATTTTGTACGGAAATACTGAACTAATTTAAATAATTTTATGTGTGTTTAATTTATTATGTAACTTTTTACATTAAATAAAATATATACGCACTGAGCAGAAATCGGGACCTGATTAGAAATACGGACATTGACCTTATAGATGACTCCTTGCGAGCATGACCCCCTAAAACAGTATGATTCGTTGGCCCGAGGTGGAAAATCTTGCAGCAACCATTGCGTTACGATTTAGTATGCCGGTCTGTTATTACCAGCGTGGTCGACGTTGAAATCGAACCGAGGCAAGAAATTCCGTTTCAGTGGCAACGGCTGATTACACGCTGACCGATCGTGCCAAGGTATCACTTTGCTTATCAAACTCCACGGTTTCGAGAGGCTGTTCAAAGCCAAGGTGCCGTGGCTTAAACATCGATTTACCGTCGGTTACGGGTGGGATTCAATTAGAAAGGACTCGTCTGTCTCCCTCACTGAGAGAAAACGAAGGAAGAGATCGATTTCCCTGAGCTGCAAATTTAATCTCAGAAGAAAATTGATTCCGATAGGCGGAACCGATCGAGTGGCAATTTCTTTTCGAAACGATCCTTTTTTCTTTCATTAGATGCACCAGTGATCCACTAATTCTTGGGGAATCAACGTCTTTTTTTTTTTCTGGAAATCAAGGATCGATACTGTTTCATTTATATTCGAAATGATTTTTGGAGATCCACCATTGTTGATCGGGAAAGTATGTTTTAAAAAGTTTCCAGGCCAAATATGTAGTACGAATAAATTTTTTGTGTACCCATATTGAGAATACGCTGCTTCTTTGGATTTGGTGATATTAAGAATTTTACTGCATAAAAGTAATCTGTTCTTCTCTTTCGAACGAATATGGGTCTGACAAATGTTATGACAAGAATATATGGTGATATATACATAATTGTATAAGAAAATAGTGGATTAATTTAATGGGTACACATTTTTTCACGCTTATGCATTATTTCAAGCTTTCACAATTTCTACAAGTAGAAAATGAATGTGCAATGGCGTGTATACACTTGGCACGCAGCGTCTTTAAAAAAAAAAAACAGGTCTCCACGTTGTAGAGTAGTGCAGACTCTCGCTCGATGTCGTGAAACCGCCAATTCGAGGTGGATTATAATCAGTACGCGTCCCCTGGGAGCCTGAACCCATTCCTATAAAAATGAAAGAAGCGAAACCAACAAAATGGCATCGTTCGAGGGAAGAGATCACAATTTTGTGTAGCTTTGTTCTTATTTCTCAAGAAAAAAAGTGTCTACTATTAATTTTTTTTGGACTGACATATCCTCTCAAGAAATGTAATTCTTTTTATTGAGATTCTGTAAATTCCTTTATAGATTTTATTACAGAACGAAATCGATTGGTTCAATTGTTTTGGAGATATTATACTCAAGCTTGAGAAATACTGTCGTCTTCCGATTAACAAATAAAAATCTATACTTTAGAGAAAATTGTTAAAAAATTTGTTTCTTTAACCCCCTACGATCAAAACATTCTTTCAACCATAGTTACCATACTTGAAAATCGACATATTCTTAAATTTGTATTGCTTTACAAACATGTAAAGTTCCATCCAAGTTATTGTTAAACGTTGTCAATACTACTCTGGAATTTTTAAAAGTCTTAAGAATCCATCAATTTTCTTTTCAAATTTTGTTGTTGACATTGTAGGTTCCACTATATTCTCTGTCTCGCTACTGACTATTAGAATCAATCATCACAAAAACTAAAACATTTGAAAAACGTCGGTTTTGTCGTGAGCCTCTGAATTTTCAGTTGGGAACGAAAAATGTCATTAATCAAAATTTGTTTTTTTTTAATGATAATTACCGATTAATCGGTCAATACTTTACAACCCAAAATATGTAACAAATACTTCCTGGCATTCCTCAGAGTAGCACAAGCGTCCTTACAAAAGCCAATAACACAAATTCCATCCCAGATCCAACACAAGGCTATTCCAAATCTACTAGCCCAACGGAATAATTCTTTCCCGTTCACTATTCTTCACAAAGCCTGACAATACTCACAGTAACCCACACACATACACTGCACTTGGAAACAAAACGAACGACCCGACCATCCACCCAATAACCATCATCCTAAAGGCTCCTCGAACAACGTTCAACCTTCAACAAGCAAGAAAAGAAAAAACCAAGAACGAAATGCACTCGGGCCACTCGGGGCAAATCACTCAAAAAAAAAGAAAAAAAGAACAAAAAAAAAAACTTTCCCCCCGCGGGCGATCGAGAAACGAGATCACCGATGAACTCACTCCGAGGCGGCGGTGGCGGCGACATCGTAACCCGAATGCAACGAGCTGCAATCACCAACACGATTGCATTCCGTCTCGCCAAGTCTCCTGTCGTTCTCGAACTCGGCCACGGCATCGTGAGCACCGTTCAGAAACTCGACGCACTTCTCCGTCGGGCTGGCCCCGCTGGTAGCCAACGCAGGACACCCGACCACCACCCCAACAACATCATCTTCCTCGTGGCCATCCTCTCGACTCCTCAGGAAAGCGTCTAGATAATGTTCCTCGGCAGCTGGTAACTCGTACACAGCGGTTGGACTCCAATTATTCCCGATATCACGACGATTCGAGGCATCGTCCTCAACTGTCTTGCCCGGTTGCTCGCTTTTCCTTGCGTACAACTTCCGTAGATAGGCCTCTTGGTGGCTCCTGGTGGCCCAACAGCCTCCTTGCCACCATCTTTTAGACCCCAGCAACGAGGTTTTCCTTCGTCTGGCGAGGCTCGACATCCTTTCCAAGCGATTCGGCCGACGTCGGTGTCTCCGCGGGGACTTTCACGGGGCCATCAGCCTCTTCTCCTCCTCCTCCCTTTGCCTCGTTGTCTCTTTATCCACCGCCGATATCGGCGCAGAGAGCTCCTTTATCCGGCCGATCTGCCTGTCCAACCGTCTGTCCCCCTTCGCTCCTCGTCTCGCGTGCGCGCACGGGTTTAATACAGACCGTAGGGGGGGGGGGGGGGGGGGGGTATTAAGCCTCCTCTCCCCGGGCTGATCCAACGATAGCCGGCTGCCGGCGATCGTCGTCGTCGTTGCGTCCTTCGGACCGATCGCTGCCGCCGCCGCTGCTGCGTCCCGATAAGATCGTGGTCCGGCCGCCGGCCTCCTCCGGAACACGACGCGTCGATCTGTCGTGCGGCACCGGTGCCGGGCGTGTACGCCAGTGGGACGAGGAAGTCGTCATCGCGAGGATCGAGGACCACGATCCAGTGTCCTTGGTCTTTAGCGTGTCCGTAGATAAGGGATACAGCGATTTAGAGGAAGGGGCCCATTGTGAATTGGTTTGGGCAATATCCAAT